TCTGTCTCTCTCTTTCTCTTTCTTCTCCTCTGTGTCTGTCTGTCTGTCTATCTGTCCGTCTGTCTGTCTCTCTCTCTTCGTTTTTCTTTCTTTCTCTCTGGCTTTCTCACTTTCATTCTTTGTTTCTGTCTCCCTGTTTCCATCTCTCTGTCACCAGATCTCTTCCTCCTGTTTTCTACGCCTTCACACACTCTATACGATCCTGCACGCTGTTTCTCTCTTGCACGCCTAATTTGCACGCTTCGATCAGATTTACTATACGGATACCATATATAATTCTTGACACGTGTATCGTACATATATATGTGTATCTATATATATGATCTCTATATGTACATGTAACGGTATATATACCATTTTGCCAGTGTTTCGTACTCTACGTTTGTGCGAACGTGCTTTCTTTTAGTGTGTATCGAAGTCGACCAAGTATGTTTCGTAGATCGTATTTTATCTGTGACATCGATGCGCTCGGCGGGATATTCATCGATATCTACTGCTCTCTCTCTCTCTCTTTCTCTCTCTCTCACTCTTTTTCTCTATCTTTCTCTCTCTGTCTTTCTCTCTCTCTCTCTCTCTCTCTCTCTCTTTGCGAGATGGAACACACAAAGCGGAGACGTCTTTCTTCATAATATGCCAACTTTCAGATAACGCGCCAACAAAGTTAGCCGAAGTAAGAATCTTTGTGCGAGCGCGGTTCATGAAGCTTCCCGAAATTTTCGTCTCAGTGAAACGAAATACATTTGAGATCGACTCCAGTTTATCAATTCAGCTGAAATTAATCGCAAATATAGCAATTGGGTTTCTACGCTTTTAAAACAGATTTCGCGAGACTGCTTAACTTGTTAATCGAAGAATTAACTTTTCTCCAATTAATTTCATTATGGAGATTCTTTTCCGCTGTATTTTTATGCTTAAAGTAATAAAAGAAGTCGTTTTTCACTTGTCGATTATTTATTTTGACGAAATATTTTGCGTCGTACTTAGAAAGTGTATAAAGAAATTATTTCTATAATGTGCAAACAATTAATTCAGCTTTCTAGTTTCGGTTTCAATGATTAAATATTAGGAATTGATTTTCGACGCTCGTCGAGTTAAATAAAACAGAAAAAAAATCAAATACAAGTACGGTTCCAGCGTTAAATGAGTAGGTTAGAGTAATAGTGACGTAAGCGAAATTTTCGAAAATTTCGACCTATGTCTCAAAATGTTGCACGTATATGTATTCATAAATGTAATATACATGTATATATGTATCAAATACGTAAATATGTACAAACATATATGCATAAAATATGCACACAATCCAGAACGTTATTATATTATAAAGTTATTATAAATTAACCTAACTCGAAATTATCATAACAATAAATTTGTCCAGTAAACAATGGAGTCATTTCGGTCGGTAAACAACAGCTTCGATCGGCAAACAATAATACAGTTTGCAATAACAAACAATAAATTCGTTCATTGAACAAACAGCACTCGCTTGTTCCCCGCGCAGAGGAAAATATGACTTACGCCATTCTGACTCTAACGCACTCAAACGTTGCTGAAAGATACACTGGAGATCATTCGCGCGAGCCGATGAGAATTTATGGCTCAATCCCATTTTCAAATGCGCCTCGAACAGCTCGTTTCACCGTCGGTTATGGAAGTCTTACTTATGAAGA